AGATGTATCATTGTGTGTTTGAGAGGCATGAGGACTGAATTTTCCCTTTAGTCCTAGTATAGCCCCATCTGTGGAGGATTGTCTTATTTCTGAAACTCATAAAAGCTAGTTGAGGAAAAAAAGCACACAGAGACTTAGATCTAAGACATCTTTTCCTTCAGAAAAACCTGAACGTTCTTACATGAATGATAATGTCTTTTAATACAAATCTACATGTAGTGGACTCAATATCCAAATCTGGTGTGGAATCATTGCCAAACATTTGCATATTCAAAGCCCAGAACATTACATCAAAAATAAGAGAACATCATGAGAATCACAGCAGCTTTAGCCTAAAAGCCTTTTTCATCACTGAACTTTGTTCGTATGGAGTCACAAAAAGCTGTTCTAACTGTTTTAGGCCAAGACAAGAATTAAGCCATTTGAGAGAAGTTAAGTTGCATATTCTATTTGATGCTATCAATAGTTTTTTTGTAGACTTTCCTATTAAATAAACTGTATTTGCTATTTCTTTAAGGCTCATTTGACCTAATCAGACCCTCTGAAACCTCTTGAGAGCAGTAGACTGATTACCAGGTGTGGAATAGTGCCATTATCTTTAACAGAATCAGCAGCACACGTAATGGATGGGCTGGTTGTTATTTATGTAGTAATTTTTCCCAGCATGCTGCTGAAAGAGGCTTTATTAACATGTCTCATGGAAAAGATTCAGTGAGTGATGTATGTTTGAAAAGGAAGCAGGATGAATTGTTTTTCATCTGAAAATATGTCCTACTGATGTAGATGACAAGCTCAGTGAGCGATACCTTTTTGTCAAGAGGCGTCACAAAGACAAACCCAAACCAAAAGTTTCCAATAAGAGCATTCAATTGAGTCCTTAGAGTATCACGTAATCCAAATATTACAGCTGGTTTAAGCCTTTATGTTTGTGACTTAAGGCGAGTCTACTGGAGTCTACAGGTCTGAGAGTTTCAAAAGTTTTCATGGTTATGTCCATTCATTGCTATACATACCATTTTGAGTGTCTGACATGAATGGAATTCTTGTTTTGCCTACGTAATCTATTTGAGCCTGATTTCTTGTGACTCATTAAATAATAAAGACAGAAATGATGGGAACAAATCAGAATCAAGGACTCTTATTTCATCACATGTTGAGTCCTCTGAAAAAAAAAAAAAAGCTCCTATCCCAGAACACCACTGAATAATTTTCTATTGTGTTGATTAATACAAAGCTCAAGGACAAATGCAAGTATTTGCTCGATTATGAATTTATGTATCCCATTCACAGTCGACAACTATTGAAACACTCCAAGGTGACTCTCCTTGCCCTCCCTCATAAGTTGGTCCATGATAAAAGCATAAAGCTTAAAGCCATTGCACATTTTATGCTTCCTTTATATCTTATGGATTGAAACATGCATAGGTACAATGTGAAACCTGGGGTTGTATTCTCTGGGAAATTGGACTTGCATGATTACTGGGGCATTATCATCTGTGCTGCATACAAAAACCTGTCGAGCATGAAATCAGATCTCATAAAGATAGTGTGAATTAAATTTGTCTCCAGATTTAAATCTCTAAATCTCTCTCTCTTTGTCTGCAGGGCGTGATATGATGCATGTACTGTGCAGTAGATTAAAATATGCTGATTTTGACTCTGCCTTACGGGGTCGTAAAAGCTAGATCGTCCCGGCTCCCAGGCCTTTGATTCAGAAGGGTTTAAAAAGACAATGGTGGCAGAATATGACAAAGAAAGTAGTAAAGAAAGAGTGCAAGGTAGAAGAGAGAGGAGCTCTATTCAAAGAGAATACATAAGGAGTCTAGTCTAGTTCCTGAACACTGCATTTTCCTGCAAAAATTCCTCGGTATAGAAAGTGCCAATCAGTGATCTTCCAGTTTGAGAAACAAAAGGCGTCTCGACAACTGGAGCAGTATGAACTCGTTTTCTTCTGTAATGAAAAGATTTGACGTACTGTATGTAAGGATGACAACACAAAGCCTCTGTAGCTTTGACAGATTCAGGGGAATCTTAAACAAATCTTTGATCTCAAGCACATCCCATCAAGCCAGTTAGGTGACAAACTCCATGTCGAGCCGTGTCAGCATTTTGAGGAGTTTATGTGCATCAGTGAGTTTTTGTGTCGCTCCTGAGATCCTGTGTTCTGGTTTTGAAGTAAGTTTTCATACGTGAATGTTCAAATATTGACGATTTTGTTCAAGACCTTGTCAGACTTTGTTCCCGGCTTCATCACAGCCCTTGTGAACCCTCAATGAACCAGTTGGGTGTAAAAGCGGTCCACACACTGGATTGTGGGTGCTGCCAAATTTAATTTGAATGATCCATGACAGTAAGGGTCAGCTGTTTCAATAAAAATAGGCATGCATAATTACCTTTTGAATTTTTAGTTGTAGCTCAAATAATATAAAGGCTACGAATGGTCTTATTAAACAGCACCAGAAAGTATCACACATTCTCCGTTACTTATTTTTTCCCCACAAGTTTTTTGTAATTTGGTTCCCTCTTTAACTCCATTACAAAAAAACATGAAACATGATATTGATGTTCTGAAATCAGATTGCTTGGTTTAGTCTCCACTACTACTTGTCTAGGTTTATAAAATATTGTTGCAATTCACTTAGCAATGCTTTTATCAAAAGTGAAGTACATCAGAGCAGGAGAAACTCCAGGTTAAGTGTCTTGCCCAAGGACACATTGGACATGTCGCTCAGCAGGGGATTGAACCGTCAACCTTCCGGTTGAGCGGCAATGACTCTACCCACTGAGCCACAGCCGCTCAGTGCTTTGAGTTTCTATGCACACGCGAGCTGTGCTACTGTAGGTAATTACATAATTGTCCATTAGCAATGTTTTTTTCAGGGTGAGAGAGTGGGGAACGACATGCGGGAAGGAGGCCACAGGCGGGATGCAAGCCCGGGCTGCCCGCTTGAGACGACAGCCTCAATGCATGGAGCGCGCGCCCTATCCATTGCGCCACTAGCGCGCCCTGTCCATTAGTAATGTTAATAATTTGTATTCAACTTACTTAAGTTGCAACCTAAATGACACACATTTACCTGACAACACCTCCCTCCAATAGATGCTTTATTTAAGATGCAAGATTTCCGGTCTATGTTCTGCTGCTGCAATAAATATTTCAAACAAATACAAGTTACAACCCGAGTTTTCCGACTGAATCACATCACTACGGGATGTAATAAGCTGTTACACAGCTAACCATGAACCAAAGAGATTATCTCTTTTGGTGTAGACAGTCTGTTTCTCTATTACAGTATGAAGCCAAACGCGTCATAATGCTAAATCAAATGTTGAAACCCAATACTTCCATTTTTGCACCATTCCATGAAAAGAAAATGTTCTGGAAAATGTGTGCCTTACTTTAAACAGTATTTAACTTAAAATAGTTGTTGCCTTTTGCAAAATAGGATCCCCCTGCTGTTATGTATTGAATCCAAGATGGATTGTAATTTCTGTTTTTGTACTGTTTGATGAAACAAGAATTCTTATATGTTTAGATCCCAAAGCCTGTAAAAGACATTCCCCTCATGAATTTGTGTTGTTCTTCTTTAACCTGATAATGTAGTTGCAACCTGTAGAACCAGTTCATCATGTCCTGCAAAAAAAAAACGTGAAGCCTGACATTCTATTGCTATTCTGTTGCTAAAGCCTTCTAAAATACACAGTTCTGAAATGTTTAAATGATACGGTATGGGTGATATGTTTTGTTTAGAGGACAACTTCCCCTGCTGCTTCTAACCTTTTTGGTGTACACATTGATTCCCTCCCATCTGAGGCCGGTGCCACTTAGTGTTAGGAGATGAGTTGGACACAGATCTGTAGGCTGGAGAGAAGGGATGAGGTCTGACGCCTGGACATGATGCGTGTTGAGGAAAAGATGGCACGGAGGAAGGTTAGAAAGAGACAGATGGGGGCGAGTAGGGTCTGTCAGGAGGGACATTTGGAAGAGGGGGAACAAGGATGTCAACACTGAGGCAAGCTCGAGCACGAGACACAAAGGTAACCCTCGAAATTAGGATTTGATGAGCTGCGAGCAAGAGGAGTCGAGGAGAGTGATGCTGTGACAAGATTATCTGAGGAGGGTGAGGAAAGAAGAGGGAGGCCACAATCTGCCGCTCTTCTTTGCCGAGTTTTTCACTTACCAACTTTTTGAAGCAGGAAGTAGTTGAGTAAAATGGGAAAAAAAGGAAAAAAGAAAAACATGGTGTTACTGAAAAAATAAATCCATAGGCTATATGTGACAAAGTGTTTCATAGTAGAGAACAGAAAATAGGGACTTGTCAGAAATAATGAAGGTAGTTGAAAAAGAAATCGAAGCCAGAGTGAGCAATGACCTGAAAGTAGACCGATCAATTCTTACTATCAGGAATTGAATTGCAAATTAGAGATTTGGCAGAGGGTGATAGAAAGTTACAATGAATAGTTGAATTAAATCAGAAATGAATGGGGGAAAGTGGCGTGAGCTAAAGTTGATACAAACAGAAAGGTTTAGGGGACCTGATGCCAAAAAGTAGAAAGGCCCCTTTTCCCATCTTTTTGCAATAACCCACTATTCCATTACTTTAGCAATGACTTGGCAACTCTCTGACCATTTATATGGAAATTCACCAGAAAGAGTTGCAGAATAATAGATTGATATTCAGTTACTTACAAGTTGAGAAATCCACTTTGAAGTTATAGTTAGTAGTAGATAGTAGATTTTGTTTGTAGGTATGTTGTTGGGTGAAAACGATCTCTGACTAGATAGATAGATAGTGTCCATGAAAAAAAGAGTTATGTTGGTTGTGTTGAGTTTATAAGCAATTACTGAATTCCAGAACAGTTTTAAATGAACTGTTAGATTTGTATTACGTTATTATTTACACCATTCAAAAACATTTTCACATCACCAGCTGTCCTTTTTTAAACTCACTGAAGACATCCTGGGCTATAATATTAATTAGAATAATTTGGAAGCATACCAACTCAACAGCGTCTCCATTTTCACGCTAATGAATACAAAATGATATTATGAATTTGAAGCTGCTCGAAATTAACTCTTCCATAGTAGTTTGAAATGTGATGAAATTTGGCAATAACGAATAGACCAAAAAGCAGTTACTCAAGAGGAAACCATTAAAATAATCTTTTGATGCAGATAATGTTGTACTAGGGCAGATTTATCTTGCTGTCAGACATTTTTAAAAGGTACTAATTACTTCAACTGAGGTGAACTTTCCAAAAAAGATTGACAATATTTCAAATACACCCTGGCTTGTGTGCTGGTTAAATTGTGTCTCTGCTTGGAGGAGGGAGGGGTCAACGATTTGAATAAACAAAACATACACAAAGATGATAACGTCTTCCAAATGATAATCAGATACAGTGGCACCAACATAATCAACAACTGTTTCCATCTGATATTTGACAAATTGTTTAAGCGATAAGGATGGTAGCGGTGCTTGGCCAACCACAAGTCTGGGTCAGAAGGTTGGGTGTACAAACAAAGAGATGGGTGTCACTTCAGTGAACACCCGTGTTGTTATAACAAGGACAATTACCCTAATACTTACTTGGAATTAAAAACCTCATTATAGAGACTTAATTAATGGACTGGAAAGTAAAGGATATTAACAAAGAGCAAGTGATAACAGTGTTGTTGCATTTGCCACATTTAATCTGCCCAGTCTTCCTATTAATCAAGTGGAACATTTTGTATTCATAATGAGAGATTTCAATTTGAAAATATTACCACTGAGGGATGTTCTTCTCACATTGGATAATTACGAGGTTAAAAAATCCCCAAAGGCATTGTACTGTTCTTTTAAATAGTAACAGCAGGCAGCATGCTAGCAGAAGAGTCACAGACATTGCTCTGCCACAACGTTAGTGCGTCAGAGTGAAGGTTGCATAGTTTTTTGGATTATGGAACGGAAAAATATTACACAGCATTGATAGTGAGTGATCATTGTAAGGACAGGAGGGCAACTTCTTCCCTTAGCTCTATGACACTTAGTGAACCATGTCTTTGGGAGACACAGGTAACATGAGAATACAGAGAGGAGCATTGAAGAAAGGCAGGAGAAGCTAAGATTTCATATACAATTAGTACTCATGAAAGACTCAAGGTTTCTTTGGTGTTTTAAAGCAAATTATATTTTGCGTTTTCTTTTCTTTTCCTTATCTGTACAATAGAAGGACATTCAGTCAAAATTACTTCATTGTTTTAGGATTTTTTTTCCTCCATGAAGTGTTCCTTTTTCACTGTTTGCATCAATGCTTGTGACAGACTTGGTTGTCAAATTAAATCCTTGCTGCTTTTGTATTAAAGCACGTCTCAAATGTAACCTTAGTGAGTGCGATTTCTGAACCTGTCATTAACAAGGTTATAAACCTAGATAGGTTGAAACATTACTTTGGCTAATTCCACCCAGATTAGATCCGAAAATTCTGCATGTAGACGCAGATGGAAATAGAAGAGGTTTGTATTTATAGGAGGAGATTGTGGATTAAAGCTAAGACACGCTTCGCTGTCCCTCATGGGAAACAAAAGAACAAGCTTATCCTAATCAAATGTTGTATGTGTTAAGCAAAAGATGACTGCCCCAGAACAATGTCTGAGAGTTACAGCTCACCTGGGACTATCATTAGGTAAAGTGTAAAGCACATTTTAGCTAATAATCACTGACTTATGCTTTGATGATGAAGAATGTCTTGCCTTTCACTTCCCAATTGATAGATAGATTCCATCCTAGTGGCAGTGTAAGGAGAAGGATTCTTAACTAGAGAAGAACCAAGAACTTGTTGAAACTGCTGTACAAGAGTTGCAAGTGCCAACACTTTCAGTATATTTGGATATTTCCGTCTTTCTGCAGTTGTCAGTTGATGTAAAAGCGTCGATTTGAAGTGATGGAAAATTAACATTAATCTTTTTGTCCTCCAGGCCAATCATGTGACTGCTGGAAGCTATGCATTGAGCAAAAAATTAAAAGAGTATGTGCAAGATCCATACAAGTTTTTGAGCATGTTTGGCCCTTCATAATTGACATTTACTATGAGAGGATAAAAACATTAGTATCTTCAGTTAAGTGGGGTGCTTGGTACCCAGACCCTACTTTCCAGTCCAGTATTCCTTGATGAAAGAGGAGAAACCAGCATATGACGGTGTTGCTGCTGCAGTGACTGGAAGTGTTTTAGTAAAAAAAAAAAAAAAAGCATTCTTCAACAGGAATATCTGATAAGAATATCCTATAACCTGCTAAATATTTGTATTTTAAAATGGCAGCAGATTTCTGAGGCTCCTTTATATTCATCAAACTAACATAACTCTGTGTTTAAGAATGTTTGCTATACAGGGCTGAGGACTTAGTATTGAGAAAACTTGATGAAAATGTTGATGTAGTGTCTTAAAAAAATGATTTTCCATGTCTAAAATCTATACTCTAGTATAGGTTAATATATAGAACTCTGACCCCCTCTGTTACCTCATGTTTATTCTTAAGTAAGTTAAACTTTGATGGTATTATTTATTGGTAAAAGTTGCTTTACTCAGTACATGACAGTGAATAAAAAGTGAACACTTACTTGGGTCAGACAGGATGGAGTCCGTCTTGGGCAGAAACTGGTCACAGCGGATTCCCTGGTAGCCTTCTCGACACCTGTTGGAGAACAAAGAGTAAGAAGAAGAATTAGTCATTGAGTCAGGCAGATTTGAGAGGGAACACAAGCCGCTGCACCCGAAGAAAATGCAAAAGCTGCACATGAAGCACCTTGTCCTGTTTAGAGACAAATGTAGGGAGAGCTGAGTCCTTGCGGATGTGAGCTGAATGGCAAGAAAGTGCAAGGTAAGGCAAGCTGACAGGAAGAAATTAATAGTGTGGTGATCTTTAAAAGGCTGAAACTTGCAGAGCTTACATGAAGAAGACATCTGTCTTTTCAGCCAAAATCACAAATTGGGGCTGCGGCAGAACGGAAACATCCAATCCCCATTAGGTGTGAGAGCCTATAACCTTTGAGTTTCATGGTTCTTGCTTTGTCACAAGAAATCAAAAGATGCTACAACATATATTGTCCTGAAAAATCTATGAGTAAGAGCTGTGGATAAATATGCTCCGTTAATCACAGACACCTTCCTTGGTCTCTGCATCAAACTTTCAAGAATTTCCAACAGTCGATTTTGATTGGCACACCCGTGAGAGTGCCAGTCACGCAATGATCATTAGGCAGCTAATGAATTCTGAAATGTGCCTGGGCTGTTCATCAAAATGTCATAGGAAAAGGCAATGCACTGTGAGAATGTCTTTTTAATTAAATTCAGCTCAATAATTATATCCTTATCAACATACAGGAGAGTCTTCCAGTGCACACAAGTTAGCTTGGGAGCTAAAGTTCCAGCATTGTAGTGTAAAGCCTAATTGGGTGCCTCGGTTGATTTGGATTTCTATCTTCGCCTCGGGCCATCTGTACTTTGCTTGCTGCTTTGCTTTTCTCTTGCCCCCTTAAGGAATATGCAAGTCTTACACATGCAAATAAAATAAAAACGTAAGCATCAGAAGTAGTTGCTGATGCCTTTCCAAATTTCACCCCGCTATATCTTTTTAATCCATCATTCGGTCACTTCATCAACCATTCAGTTTTGCTAAGTCTCAATTTTCTACTCTACCCAACCTGCATCCCAATTCTTCCCCTGTTTACCCCTGTGGCATTTTGCCATTGACCCTCCTGGCATTCTTCTATTTCTGCCCTTAAAAGTATAAACATATCCTAACAGTCTTTGCTTTGGGAAGACCCAGACTGAGAGGCCCCTCCATGTCCATCCAGCTGAGGACATAACATCTGTGAAAAGCATCAAGCATTCAAAAAACAATAGAGAGTGACAACTAAAGATTTATCTCTGTGCAGAATGATAATGGTTACCCTCTCTTTGCCTTTCATCTACAGTGAGTGATTTCATGATTAATTATTAAAATAGCTGCAGTAGGAGGAGAAAGAGATGCACTTGAATGTGCATGACTGTGGTATGCCTGAAGAGCATCTTCACTGAGGGAAAAGGGACAAATACAGAAAGAGGAGAGTCTGTAACACTGACTCTAAATAGTATCTCTGATATTTAATGGAGGAGTTTAAGTTGTATATGAAACCTGTTTGTCCTTAAAATGATTGGACCTGCATGGGTCTGTAATCTATGGTGCAGGAAATCAAGGTTAGAGGGCACTTCTATTTTTCCAATAGCTCTGTATGCACATGTAACTACAAAACAGTGGAGTTTCTACCGCCCTGTATAGAGCACTGTTAACTATTGTCCCACGTTGTGATGCAAAAGGGTTCTTAAGTTTCTATTCATCACTGCAGCACATCTAAATGAATTATTTGAGTAAACCAGAAAAGAGAAGTAAGACACAACTGAATTTGGTACTCCCATCTTTGGAAACCATTTTTAAGTAATGTCAAATTGAACTGGCAATGATGTTTCAAACTAAAAAAAATGACTGACATCTCCAAATATATTACAAAACATTTTACGATTTGATCTGCAGTTGAAAAATGGTAAAATACACTGATTTATGGTATACTTTCAACATGAACAGGATACAGTGGAGATACAAATCTAATATAGCGCAATTAGAAGCCCACTGCAGGAGAGCTTAAAAAATGAAGCGACTGCTTTCCATCAGACTGAGTCCTGGATCACTGAAACAACTTACTGATTGAACTGAGTCATTGTTAAGGTTTTCAGTTGCACTCCTGCACTATGACAGGTCAGAACGTCTGCTGTGAGATAAAAGGCCTGCTCTGTATTCATAACAATTCTGCAGCTTTTCTTTATGGCCTGAAAACAAAAGAGCTCTTCAAGCTAATTGTGGACATTGGCATTGACAAGAAACAAAATCGTATTTCTGTTAAAGGAGTATTTTAACAATGGGAAGACTGTATGGGCTTTCCAGGTGAAAGTTGAAAATAATACTGAATTATTACAGGAGAAAAAAGGGCCTCTGATTGATGCTTCCTCTCATGTGTTCAGCAACATGCGAGGGAAGTTAAATGTCATTCATTACTATAACAAAACAGCTTGAAAGTCTACAGTTTCAGCTCGTCAAGGCTGGTTGTTGTCGTAACCCAATTCACATTTCATGCACAATGTTAAGAAGACCTAAACAGTCATCCACCGTGGAGTCTCCCTTGCTGCCTCTCCTCCAGGTTTGTTGTTCTCAGCTTTTACTGGTGCAATGTGAGATGCCAAATAAGTGTTGTGTGGGAGCAGGAGAACAAAACAAACACAAACAAGCACAGTGGCCCTGTTTTGAAGACACAATCTGACTCACGTTGCAGTAGAAAAAAAAAACACACACAAAAAAAAAAACTGCATAAAAGTTGTCAGACTTCCGCTCAGGGATCAGACGCCTCTATCACGATCAAAGCCGAGCATGTCAACAGGTCACCTCAAACACCGATGGACTTTTCACTGTGCTAAATGTGTGGTCATTTAACATCCCTCCATGCCTTTGTGACCTTAGCTGACTAAACTGTGACAGGAGGCAGCCACGGTCACAGCAGCCGGAGGAGAAGAAGATAATTAAAAGAATAGAGGCTTAACATGGTGACATTGTCTGTGTGTCGTGCTCATTAGGGGTGGACTGTGGAAGTGAGGAGTAGCATAAAGAAGTGATTAAACGAAGCAGAGTGTGGTTAAAAAAACAGGCGACGGGGAACACAATACAAGTACGCACAACAATGTATAGACATAGCCTACTTGTAGTGTGGCCACAAGCGCCGCAAAAACCACTGTTATATCTCTCCATGTCATGTAGCACTGTGCAGTATTAGAAGTTATTGTATGCAGTTAACACACCCTCTGTTTTGCCCCTGCTGTTCTTCGCTGAGATCAAAACACATCAGCGTTGCTTCACAAGGCTCCGAGGAATGAATCTAAGAACGGATGAGAGACTGTCGGAGGGTATTGAAGAGTTGCATGCCTCTTCTAATTAGCACCGCACTCATTAATTAAAGGAAAACAGGAAGAGATTGCATGTGCCTGCATAAATGTATGTGTATGTGTGTGTGTGTGTGTGTGTGTGTGTGTGTTGTGTGTGCGTGTGTGTGTGTGTGTGTGTGTGTGTGTGTGAGAGCATGCATATGTGTGAATTCCTCACATACTGTATGAACAAAGCAACCCAGAGCAGAGCAGGGTATAAATATAAACATGCCGCCTGGAGGATTACGAGTTTGTGCATGGGGTATGTGTGAAAACGCAGGAGCTGGTGCTAAAACACACACATACATATGCAAAACAGAATGTGTTGAGAGAGCAGGTCCCTTTTGTTTCAAGAAGTTGATAAGTTCTCCATGTATGAGAGACAAGATGTCGTTTCCTCGTGACTATAACAGCACACTCCGTCTCTGGGTTTTTGCTAATATAGACTTTAGACTTTAGACTTGGACTTTTTATTGTCCCCATGGGGAGATTCCTTTTAACAGCACCTTATCCGTCCAACAGACAAATACCCACCAATATATCCAAACAAAAGTAAAAAAAAAGCTCTGCCAACTAGTCCTTGACAAATAACCGAAATGTACCGTGAGGAGCTTTTAACTGGTTATGAAACAGACTGAGATTAATACTGATGCCTCTACATGACCTACAAAAGCAAACAAGACCGTCAGGAATTGGATTAATTACAAATTTTTAATGTCTGTCACGAGTCACTTTTCAGCATGCAAACTGGAAGTACATATTTTTTTTACATTTTGCACAGAAAAGATTGACTGTGACTGAAACTTTGGACTGTTAAAATGCAGCAGGGAGATATTATTTTTTTCATTAGAGAAAACTATTAACGGATGTACAGAGTAAGATAAGTAAACCAAGACAAGATCAGCACCCGACCAACGTCCACCAAAGTAGCTCTAACTTGAATTACTGATATTGTCATCAAAATCATACAAAGCAACAGTTAGTGTGGCATAGAAGAAAAAGTCCTAGCTTTAATCATAATCTGAATACTTATATATATACTTATATATTTACAGTAGAAAAGAAATGGCATTCATTCATTTCTAAAGAAGTTCATCTTGCATATGAGTCCAATGTTTTGAAATAAAGCTTTGGTTCTCTTTAGCCATAATGTTCTTTTCAGGTCATGTACACAGCAACATTCACACTTACAAGCTGCTCTGTCGCACTACAGCAGCTTCTGTTGGGGTGAAAAGTGCTTAAGTGCACCTCAGGGATTTCTCCTGTTAATGCTGATTCTAGGCTTCAAGTTTTACATGCAGTAACCTTTAAAGCACAGTTTTAAAGGTTTTATCAAATGTCTTATACCTATAGATTGTAAATATTAATGGATGAAGGCTAAGTGACGTCAACCATTTGTTACTGCAGGGGGCTTGGAGTCACATCGATGGCTGTTGCCATGCTGGAAATGCTTTCTCACCCTATTTTTCAGTCAACCTGACGACAGACTGAGAGCTGGAGCTGAGGCGGGTTAAGAGTGTCTTTACAAACCGCCACATTGCACCCGCCTGTCAATCAAGTCAGCTAATGTACGAGCCTTATTGTGAATGACGTTTATCCTTCATAAAATCAAAATCGATGAGTCATCAAAAAAGTCAACCCCTGTACAGTTTTTGCCAATAAAGACATGAGCTAAACAGACCAGAT